TATTAGGCATCAAGTGAACATTCTGTCCCTGAAGTTGATGTTTCAGAAGCAGAAAAAAATGGGCAAGCGTAAGGATTTAAGCGACTTTGACAAGGACCAAATTGTGATGTCTAGATGATTGGGTCAGAGCAATTCCAAAACTGCAGCTCTTGTGGGATGTTCCCGGTCCGCAGTGGTCAGGAGCTGCCAGAAGTTGACTTGGCCTCCAAATTCTCCAGATCTCAATCCAGACGAGCATCTGTGGGATGTGCTGAAAAAACCATGGAGGCCTCACCTTGTAACTTACAGGACTTGCAGGATCTGCTACTGACGGCTTGGTGCCAGATACCACGCCATACCTTCAGAGGCCTAGAGGAGTCCATGCCTATATGGTCAGGGGTGTTTTGGTGGTAAAAGGGAGACCTATTTAATATTAGGCGGGTAGTCGTAATGTTATGGCTAATTGGTATATATATCAAGCGTGCAAAGGACCAGAAGAAGGACCACGATTTTAAATCTGCAGAATTCTTTATAGGAGTCTGGAGGCAAATGTAAAAACTTATACTCAACACCCCAAATTGACAGATCAATAGTTGGCAAAGTTTTAATTTTATATGTGTCAGGCAAACTGATCAACCTTATTAGGTCTTGGCAAACTGGGTCTGTACCGGGTAGTATGTAAGCCTGCTTATATTTGTAACATAAAATGAGATAAATGTTTTAGAAGGTGAAGAATTATTTTGCTATACTCGATTCCCCATTCCATTATTAAGAATACTTTGCCTTCTTCTCTCAGAATTGCGGATATGTCCCCAGTGGAATTCATGTATTTTTTTTGCCTTTCACTAGCGCAATGAAGACAAGAAAGCGGACTATTTTCAGAAACTGAGCTGCAATGAATCCCATCATCCAATGGAAACTCCCACTGAGCTTTAGCATTACCAGGTGACCCTAATTTAACGGGAGCTTGCAGAAGAGCGCTCCTTCTAACTTACACTGCATGAGGTTCCTTGAATCGACCAACTTGTTGAATCTGATACATGAGGTCGCCGCCATTAACAAACTCCATGACGAAGTACAGGCGATCCTGCAACAGGTTACCGAAAAGTAGATTAATTGCTGGGGAAACAGTAAAGACTCGGGGTGGGTGTGAGGGGCTTAAAATTAATCAACATGTTAGTATTTGTTCTCATTACATGCTTCTAGCTCCTAAAAGTAAATGGCAAACGTAATGATAAATTTGAACATAGTTAAAGCTGAAATCCAGGCAAACCACTAAATAAAAAGATTAAATACGTACAAGGGAGCTGTTTTACCTGTATTCATATTTATGTCCATCCATTCCTGAGATTTACATAGCTCTGAGACACCACAAAGCCCTGTCTGGCAGGGCAGGAGACCTGATTTATCTCTGCTGAAGTTGGGTATCACTTACAGGTCTCATCCCCCCAGCTTGTGACTGGATAGAGCAGGAGAAGCAGCACACTGATTAGCTCATCTCTCTGTAATTCTGCTCCCTCCTCCTATCAGCATGTTCCCTGATAGCACTAGAGCACTGTAGCACAACTGGCTCCTTGTGCTGCTTCTCTTTCTCTCAGTCTAAGCTCTGCTGTTAAACAGGTTGCAGGAGTTTGCTACCAAGTCAAATTCAGGTACTTGCACTGCTTGAAGTAAAAAAAATATATACATTTACTTATGCAATAATGAACACAGAGCTTCGTTAATATTTGTCTTTCATATTTACTTGGAATTCAGCTTTAATACTTTTCGGCAAAGGTTGTTTTTTTGAGCATTCTGACCCTAGTCAGAAGGATTTATAGCACAGTTGTAGTATCAAGTTAAGTAAATTTGGGGTGCATAAAGCAGGTTTGTAAGCGCCTTACTTCTTTTTAAGAGCTCCTGCCCCAGCCTAAAATTTATGACCCCTGCACCAGACTAAGGATGAGGGTTCCTGCTGTGTGAGTACATTGATCTATGTCCAGCAGTGTGACCTGCACCCGGCTTAGGGAGTGCAACCATTGCCGAATAGAGAACTGTACTTGTGGAAAGGTGGGAGTGTGAAAGACCTTAATCTTAATCTTCAGCGTGAACGACGTGCATTTTGGGCTGGCACATAACTTAATTAACCCCTTCATGACTGAGCTGGTTTTCAGGTTCTGTTCATAAATGACTGACACATTTTTTACATTTTTGCTGTGGGATTCTTCCATACTTTATTTTTATTTTTTTTACACTTTGTAAAAAAAATAAAATAAAAAAAAAACTTATTTTTTCTTGTCAGTTTATATCAAGCAATCACTATGACAGCTTGATAAATTAACTTTTTTATTTTATTTTTGGCTATTAGGCTGATCCAAACTTAGGAACAGCTAATAATAACCTTAGAGACTGATCCTGACTTTAGTCAGATTCAGATCTCACTAAAAGCTCTTTGATCGTGCCTAGACGATCAGAACTGATAAATTTCACTCAAAAGATATACATTGTATCTTTTGAGTGAAATGTATCTAAACATCGGGCTCTCGAACTGTCAAAACAAATAGCAGAGAGGTGAGGTGAGTCACTGCTGCCTCTCTGCTATTTTGAGCTGTCAAATACGGGATCGCAAATTGCGGTCCTCTATTTGCATGTAACGGCTTCATTCTTTCATTAATGAAAGAAAGAAGCTTTTACAAAAAGCTTAATTATTTCATTAATTAATGCCTCAATACTGAGGCATTCATTAATGACTGGTAACTGCTGAGAATCAGCAAATACCGGCATTACAAAGCCTGATATAACTCGTCACGTACAGTGTACGTGGCCAGTCATATAGGCACAAAGTGACAAGACGTACACTGTACGTCTCCCGTCACGAAGGGGTTAAATAGTAACAAGTAGTAAGTGCACCTATGTACCCTACATTTGTCTAATTAATTTAACTTGAGATAACAATTAGCATTTCAAGAGGGTCAGTCAGGAATGGACAACTCAGGGATGGGTGCTATGTGCTGTTTTATTACTTGTATTCTCTCCCATCTAGAGCAGATAGGCCAGCTCAGTGTCAGGCTGTAAGGCTCCCATGGTAACTTGTCTACTGCCCAAACTCTGTGCCGATACAAATACTTTGTCTAATTCGATATGTCCCATCGCACTCCTGACCGGAAAATCCCAATAAAAACAGGGTGGGTGCAGCAGCGAGAGCACATGCCTCTGCAAATCTCATAGAACCAGCAAAAAGTCACTCACACTCCAAAGCAATGCCCAGTCAATCTCTTTATTGACTATGGTAGTGTAACATCTCTAAGCAACGTTTTGGAACCCAGTGGTCCTTTCCCACTACCATAGTCAATAAAGAGATTGACTGGGCATTGCTTTGGAGTGTGAGTGACTTTTTGCTGGTTCTATGAGATTTGCAGAGGCATGTGCTCTCGCTGCTGCACCCACCCTGTTTTTATTGGGATTTTCCGGTCAGGAGTGCGATGGGACATATCGAATTCTGAATGGTATCAGTCCTGGGCTCAAGCAGAAGACTGGATGCCCTTACAGCTTAGAACTTCTACCATGACAGGGAGAGAATGCAAGTATGTAATACAAAAATAAAGTAAGGCTTGAGAAATAAGGCCACATTTTTATAACAAAAATGCAAGATTGAAGGTTAAATAATTTGATGCTTCAAACAGCTTTTGAAGGTGGCAGTCTATCAAGTATAGTATGAGGACAGAACAGGGTTTGTGCTCTGATGGTTTGGTGAATCCCAGACAGCTATTTACAGAGACTCTGGCAGTGACATCCAAGCTAACCTTCCTCATGACTACAATCATCATATGCTGATGGGAGTTGGCCAATGGTTAGGTCCTCCCTATCGCCTCTTACCATGGTCTGGAAGCAAGAGTGTAGTTGTGTTAGGAAAGGTGGTTTTCCGCCTAGTGCCAGCACCCTCTTCTCAACCATTGTGCATTCCACGTCGTCGTCTTGTATCACGACATCTTTCTTTAGGATCTTTATGGCATATAACTCATCTGCGCCCTTCCTCTCTGCAAGTATCACCTATAAGTGAACATAGAAGTTAGTGCCATCCTGGAAAAAGGCCTTTATTAAAGACTCAACAATCACACGTACAACCGTGTAGATAAGTGACTAACATTAGAGGAAAATATAGAGATGGGTGATTCAATAAAGACCTTGCAACACAATTCTGGCATAATGGCAGTATCCAGAACTTTTGCACCAAATTAATTCATTTGTGACAGCTCCAAAGTTAATACCAACACATGACGAATTTACAAAAGGTCTTATCTGTGATACTTTTACCCATTTTGGAGTTAAGAAAACTGGAAGTAATTAAGACCAATGCTATCTTGCAGGAAGCAGGGCAGTAAAGTTAGAAGTTTTAAAACTTCCTATAGTCCAGAAAAAAAAAAAGCGGGTGGCACTCCTTATAGAATTCAAACCTGTAAAACGATTGATCTGCACAAATTGGACAAAAGATTCCTCCACTGATGCGTTTGACCCACCAGATGGGGATCCATAAAGTTTACCAGTGTTTAAGTTTATACCAAATGCCCTAGACTTTTGTTCCTGCGCTGATCAGCAGTTTGGGGCATAAGACGAGCTCTAGCCTGGCTTGTGGCACCTGGTGCTTTCAGCTTTTGACCGGCACTTCCTTGTCCATGATAAAAAACTGTCCGTTTATTTCTTGCTGTTGGTGTGGAAAGATTTCCCACCACTTTCCACCAAGGGACACAGTGAGAGGGAATCTCTACAAAGTGAGGGGAAAACACCCACTTCAACAGTTGTCACAGGATCAGGTATCCCCACTGGAAGATTTACCCTCAATTCCTGTTCTGGTGACAAAGGTAAAATCTTGGATTTCCCATCACGTTCCGTCTTTTAGTTGGACCGCCTTTAGCATTAATTACGGCATGCACTTGCTGTGGCATAGTTTGGATAAACTCATGCAATGTCACAACATTTATTTCCATCCAGAGTTGTATTAATTTTTCACCAAGATCTTGTAGTGATGATGGGAGAGTCAGACCTCTGTGTAAAGTCTTCTCCAGCACATCCTGAAGATTCTCAATCGGGTTAAGGTCTGGACACAGTGGTGGCCGATCCAAGTGTCAAAATGATGTCTCATGCTCCCTGAACTACTCTTTCACAAGTTGAGCCCGATGAATCCTGGCATTGTCATCTTGGAATATGACCAATGTGCCATCAGGGTAGAAAAGGCTTGTCATTCAGTATATTCATATTCAGGGAGGCAGCTGACCTCATTTTGGGCACATAACGTTGCTGAACCTAGACCTGACCAACTGAAGCAACCCTTATAGCTCTTACCCAGTGGTGTCACTAGAGGGGTGCAGCCTGCACCCGGGTGACACTAAAATGACCGATAGTCATTTTGGTGTCACTCCCTCTGAAAAGTCAGGCACTCTGTCATGGACTGAGAGTACGACAGCTGCAGAAGAGTCAACGGCATGCCTTAGGACGCCTCTGCTCTTACCTATTTTGCTTAGCTTAATTGAGGTGGTGACTTTTTTTTGGCCAGGCAGTGTGCATCAAGCTGTCTACTATTCTGTCTACGTAGTGACAGGAGTCATGCAAGCAGGAGACTCTTCTTGAATCTGGAGATGCTGGCTTATTAGGCTTACTCTTACTGGCGGATAGGCGGGCAATTTGATTTCAATTGTTTTTATTTTGTACATGTGCACTTTTTCTTTTTATGTGCGACGCTCCTCCATTATATATTTATCATAGAATTATTAAAGGTGTTGAAACCGTTTGAATATTACATGGTGGTACAGAGGGCATCATTGTTGTTCTGGTGGTACACGTTTTTGGCTCGGACATGACAGGAGATCTCCTTCCACACTCTGGTTTTGGCTATACATACACTTTATTAAACCTATAAGTCTTTACGCCTTAGTTTTGGATAGAATGGTTTTAAAAATGAGATTACTGTAAAAGGCAACTTGTCATTGAAGCAAGTAAAAATGTCCCCCAGGGACATGGGCAACAAAAATAGCTAATGGGCACATCTCTATGAAAACAAAAGTAGTATTACTGCTGTAAGTCTGTTTTTCTTCACTCTTATTTTGATGGCAACATAGTCACCATCATCATTTTAAAACGAGAATCAAAGCGTCTCTAACAGAGACAGGAAATGCTGCAAAGATCCAGCACTTGGTGAGACTTTTTCTTACAGGCCTGATAAATAACATCATGTTATCCAGAGAGGTTTTTCCATTTGAAGTGGGTTACATACTTAGCCCCAGTATCCAATCCACGTTGTCATTCCTATACTGTGCTGAAAATATACAATTAATATATGGTCGGCTTCCATGGCAACCCTAAAAGTTTTCGTTTATTCTGCTTTTACTGTGGCAAGCCTCAAGCCGTTAGCTGCTCTGTAAGCGCCACGTTTTCTTACTTCTCAATATATTCAATAATAGCAATGACATTTGTATTATTTAGATATCATCTCATCAGATACGAAAACTATCGCCAGTCCCCCCCATGATAAACTCATTTTAGAAAAGCTCCCCGGCAGGCCTCTGTTGCAAACAAGAAATTAAATCTCTTTTAGACATCCCGTATCGGGTGAAAAATCAGCCAGGGCCATTGGCACGCGGATATGTGGTTGAAGCCACATAATGAAAAAATAGGGATCGCACCTCTATTGTTCTGCTACCTACCATCTCTACCAAAGCAGACAATGAGCCCATCTTGCTCAGGTGAAAGCGTCATCTAATCACAGCTTGCAGAAAAGCTAATTAGCATATTTATAAGGTTCTGTCACACGCGCCTCGCAAGCGTCAAGCTTTTTAATAACGCTTTTCTTTATGTTTGCTCAGTTAAAAAGACAAGACGTATGAAAGCGCTGCCTTTCCACCTCCCCAGCTGCCACGCGCTTAGCTATGGCTAGCAGGTTAGCCGTTCCTCGCTTCCAATAACAGCACAAGCTGCGCCGATGAATGTGCTACCCTGCTTTGTTTTCCCACATTAAAGGACTCTTTTTCTCTAACAATAGCCTGATATGGCGCTACACTTTGTTGCTCATTTACAATCACGCCAAGTGCGGTTCCTAAAGGGGAGATGTGCTTTTACCCTGTTGTTTACAATGTAAAAGTAGTAAATTACTATGTTGTTAAATACACAAAGCTGTAAGAAGATGTAACATGAAAAACAACAATAGCAATTTTTTTTTTTTATATCTGCAGCTCTCTCTGATCGGCCCTGTGCTATGGCACCTCTAGCCCGTTTTCCTAGTGGAACAAAATGTACTAAAAAGGAGAAAAAACTCAATGTCCATAATGAATTATTGGTCTGTGATACTTCATAAAAGCTGCAACATCATAATATGCTGCTTCTTGTTACTACACTGTAACTATGAGGAAATGCGACACTACTATATCAATTGAAGATTGGTGTGTAATCTTTAATTCATCAATCGGCATACAGCAAAGGTCTCAGACAAAATCTCTAACGCGCATCATGCATACTTCTCCAAGTCATAGACCATTCCAGTTATTCATGTATTCAGGAAATTAGTAGGGGGGCTGAATGAGGGATGGACATGTCTTCCAATGTGGATTTTCAGCACTGGTACCCAAGAGCCTCTTAACCCAAACTTCTCAAATAAAGTTGGGAAATAAACCCTTTAAATTTAAAGTGACGGTAAACTCAGGAGTTAAATCTTAAAAATGCATTCAAGTACCTTAACTATTAACAAAATTAGTGAGAACAGCGGATCTGAAACTGAATCATTTCTAAATTCTGTCTCTGAAATGTTGGTCTTGCTTAGGTTGGTTGCAGAATGGAGAATGCAAATGTTAAAGTTTAAAAAAAGGAAATAACGAATCCTTCATCTTTCCCTTTAAATCTGCTTCTTTTTGTGGGCTTGGTTTAATGCCAAGCAGTCTATCATATTTATAATCAGTCTCCCTTAGCTTAAAGGGACACTAAACTCAGGAGTTGAATCTTAAAAACGCATTCAGGTACCTGAACTATTAACAAAAATGTATCTTATTTGTGTATCACTTGGCTGTAGATCCTCCAATCATCTCTGGATTGGTGTGGACACTGTCCTTCCTTCTGGAGGGTGGCTACTTTTGTTCCCCATGGTTCCTGTGTGTGTTGTAAAGTAGTCACCGCTCCGAGCTCACTTCTGTGATGGACTACAATCTCAATACAAATTAGTAAACTAAATATGAGATTGGAGAGATGAGACAAGAATGCCCCATAAAACGTAGGTGCAAAACAGCAAAGGCGCCCAGGTGGAAGAGATGAAATTATTGTGTTTCTTCAATTTAGCGCTGCAACAACTAAATCGATTATGAGAATAGTCGGCAACTATTCTCATCATCGATTAGTTGGTTGGGGAGAGGGAGAATTTTTTTTATACAACCAATCTATTACTTGAAAAATAATTGGGCAACTAATTTATTATGAAAATAACCGTTAGCTGCAGCCCTGCTTCAATTTAGATTTTTATTCCGTGAAACACAGACATAACTGGTACGGGTACTCCTAGAATGAGATCCTAATAGGTTGGACTTGATGGACTAATGTCTTTATTCAACCTCAAATACTATGTAACTATGTAACCATCACAGTCTCAACGCTTTTCGTGGCTCTAACTGGGAGATTGTAGTCCACCACGGGAGCCAGCTTGGTGACTACTTTACAACACACACAGGGACCATGGGGAACAAAAGTAGACCCCTCCAGAAGGAAGGACAGTGTCGGCACCAATTCAGAGATGATTTGAGGATCTACAGCCGAGTGATACACAAATAAGATACATTTTTGTTAATAGTTAAGGTACTTGAATATATTTTTAAGATTCAACTCCTGAGTTTAGTGTCAATTTAAGACATGGGTTTATGAGTTTAGGGTGCAGGAACTCAAATAGCTTGCACAACCCTACTGAAAACCTTTGAGATGAATTTGAATGCCGAAGGATGCGGGGTGTGATTCAACCCAAATGACACCCTGTGGTGAAAAAGTAGTACTATAGAGGACAGCTCCAGACTTTAGGGTATTGCAGACTGAGCTCCTTTTTATTATGTTCACTGCCTTTAATTAAATAAAGAAAAGACCTGAAGTTGGGTTTTAACATGTTTGTGATGTTTAGTGATTGGATTTCGATACACTTCAAAGGGCACAGGGCTTCCAGCAATCCAGTGAGGTGCTGTAAGTATTTGGGCAGCACTGGGTAAGACACCATTCAGATGAAAGTAAACTGAGCGAATGTTCTGATGTATTAGAGGAGAGCCGTAGCTAGCTCCTTTTGCACCAGAGGCAAAAAAAAAAAAACATGCCGCCCCCCCCACCCCCCAACAGGCGTGTGACATCACCCAGCACTGTGCACACACGGCATCATGTGCCCCGCCTCCAGGATGTGATTTTTATTCTTTATTTTTTTTAATTATTTTTCATTTCTCTCTTACTGTTGGGGGGGGGGGGGGGGGGTCTAAGCAGCCCCCTGATATTTCCCTTTTAAGATAGTAAAAGAAATCGACAGAGTCCCCAACCGCTTTTTCTGCAGCCTCTGTTCTAAATGAGTGGAAAGCAGAGGCTTCTCATTCATTCAGAAAATATTTACTATAACCAGTTTCTGAATGGGGAGAAGCCTCTCTACTAAGTGCTACTACCCATTCAGAAACTCATGGATGAACAGGAAGTGATGTACTGTAAAGCACTTCCTGTTCATTCATAACTGGGGACACATAGTACTATGTGTCCCCAGTTATTTACAAACACTGTCACGGCAGCATGGACGAGCGGTGAGGAGAGAGAGAGAGAGCCGCTGGCTGTCAGATCCTGGCTGAGCGGCTCTCTCCTCACAGTTTCAGAGTTTGCCAGATATCATTAATAGTTCACTGACCACACTTACCTGTTGCTTTGCATGACCATACAGTACGGTCATGAAAGAATTGCACTCTAAGCAAGTAAAACATGAACTATAACAATAAATCTACATTACCAACATTTCCAATAAATACGTGTTTGCTCATATTATACCAAAGTTTGTGTTTAAGTTACCAAGTAACTTTTCTCTACAGGATAGGGAGCGAAAGGTCAGGAATGATTGTCTCAGAATAATACCCACATATCTAGTCAAAGCCTTGGAAAAGGGTTGAAGGACATCCCTTTACTTGTGTTTTTTTTTTTTTTTCTTTGGGTCAACAATACCTTGAAAACACAACATGTGCTTTCAGCTATTTGTTGGCTTACAAAGGATTTGCGAGCCAAGCTGGAAACCGTTTAAATTCATCACCTTGGCGGATTTCAAAAGATTGTGTTTCCGGCCCCCTGTGGGTTGTTCAGGGGTCAAGTGGGCAGAAGAGTCCAAAGAGAGTATTGATATTTATTTCCCCAGCCGCTCACTTTCTTCCCCCTCTTGCAGGACTGCTGCTGAGTAGAACGTATTAGAAACAAGCAAAAAGTTCCTTTTTTTTTCTTTGGCGCAGCTGTCGGCTGACAAGGAGGAGAGGAGCTGGCAGAACAACAAGGGAAGATGAGGCAGTACAGTCCGCAGGACAAAAGGAGAGAGAAAGAGAGAATGTGCCGGTAATTCGCAGCTGCTTTGTTTGTGCGGATGCTGAATTTAACCAATTCTTAACCAAAATGATGTCCAAAAAAATGGGTATATACTGTGCGCATGTGTGTGTATATATATATATATATACACACACATACATACACACACTGTATTTTTCCGTGTATAAGACTATACTTTTTCATAAAAATGTTTACCTAAAAATGGAGGGGCGTCTTATACACGGGGGGCCGAGAGGAGAACCGCAGTTTCGAAACTACCGATACCTCTGCAATCTAGCCTTACGAGTGAAACTTCCGATTGCAGAGACAAGCTAACAGGTTTCCTTCAAATCATGAGCCTTATGTGCCCGACGTCAGCTGATGCTGCGGAGAGCCTGTAGCCAGTGCCCAGATGTAACAGGGAGCGGTAATGTCGGAGCATTTGGAGCCCATAAAATGTCAGAAAACAAAAAAAATCCCGGTAAATACCAATACCAGGAAGCGGCTGTCTTACTCTGCAAAATGTAAACTGGATGTAATCAGTTATGCAAAAGAGCAT